GTGGGAAGAATAGTGTCCCAACATTGGTGCCAGTGGGAGGAATAGTGCCCCACCATTGGTGTCAGTGGGAGGAATAGTGCCCCATCATTGGTGTCAGTGGGAAGAATCGTGCCTCATCATTGGTGTCAGTGGGAGGTATAGTGCCCCATCATTGGTGTCAGTGGGAGGAATAGTGCCCCATCATTGGTGTCAGTGGGAGGAATAGTGCCCCATCATTGGTGTCAGTGTGAGGAATAGTGCCCCATCATTGGTGTCAGTGTGAGGAATAGTGTCCCATCATTGCTGTCAGTGGGAGGAATAGTGTCTCATCATTGCTGTCAGTGGGAGGAATAGTGTCTCATCATTGGTGTCAGTGGGAGGAATAGTGTCCCATCATTGGTGTCAGTGGGAGGAATAGTGTCCCATCATTGGTGTCAGTGGGAAGAATCGTGCCCCATCATTGGTGTCATTGGGAGGAATAGTGCCCCATCATTGGTGTCAGTGGGAGGAATAGTAGGTCATTGGTGCCAGTGGGGGGGGGTTGGAAAAGTGCCCAGTCGTTGGTGCCAGTGGGAGGGGGGAATAGGTGCCCCATTGTTGGTGTCAGTGGGGGGAGGAATATTGCCCCATCACTGGTGTCAGTGAGAGTAATAGTGCCCCATCATTGGTGTCAGTGGGGGGAGGAATAGTGCCCCATCATTGGTGTCAGTGACACCAATGACGGGGCACTATTCCTCCCACTGACAGTAATGACACTTAACTAGCCGACCCCTGTTCCAGCATGGTGCTGCTGCAGCCAGCATACCTGGTTGCAGCAGTACCATCTGCACGGCACACTTACCAGGCGGTCAGCTGTCCTCCTTCCTTCAGTTAGGCCTCTCCCTCCCTTGATTTTCACGGGGCCGCTTGGCTCCGCCTCCTCGCTGGTGATTGGCTGCCTGTGTGCCTTTCCTGAGCTACAGTACTGGCGCCCAATCACCGGTGAGGAGGCGGAGCCATGCGGCAGCACGGACATTGAGTGAGGGAGCAGCCGGAGTGAAGGAGCTGCGCATCCTGGACTGGATCGTCGTGGGACTGGAGCTAGGTAAGAGACAGCAGCCCCCTGCCCGCCCCTGTACTTGTCCCCTGCTGGCGGGCCGCATGAATGTGCTTGGCGGGCCGCAGTTTGAGGACCCCTGATCTAGATTATATTGCTGTGCAAGAAACATGTCAGATGTTAGTTGCCTGGCTATAATTCTGATCATTTTTTTTTTTTTTTTCAATACCACTACAGTGCTAACCCAGAACAAGGACACAGAGGAGGCAATTCACATTTTCTAAAGGAGGTCAGTTGGGGTAGCCCTAGTATTTCTCTAATTCCATGGTCACTGTAACAAAATATAACTGGGTGGATTTACAAAGGTAAAGTACAGGAAATGTAGAGGCTGCTCATTTTGCACAAAGGATTCAAAAATAAGGTGGATCTGTGTTCACGTAACACACCCAAACATGTGCAAAGAAAAGTAAATATCTCTCTATACAGGTATATACAGTTTTGTCAATATATTTGGACATAGGCACAATTTTAGATTTTTTTCAGGTATTTACCAAAACATATTCAAGCTATAGTTATATAATGGATATGAGCTAAAAGTGCGCACTCTCAGGTTTAATTTGAGGGTATGTACATCCAAATTGGAGGAAGGGTTTAGGAATTACAGCTCTTAAGAGTAGCCATCCCCCTTTTTCAGGGACCAAAAGTAATTGGACAGTTGAATCAAAAGCTGTTTCATGGCCAGGTGTGGGCTATGCCTTTGTTATTTCTTCATCAATTAAGCAGGTAAAAGGTCTGGAGTTGATTCTAAGTGTGGTATTTGCATTTGGAATTTATTGCTGTGAACCTACATCATGCATTCAAAGGAACTGTCCATGCAAGTGAAGCAGACCATTGTTAGGCTTCAAAAATAAAACAAATCCATCAGAGAGCAGCAACATTAGGAGTGGCCAAATCAACAGTTTGGTACATTCTGAGAAAAGAAGAATGCACTGGTGAGCTCAGTAACATAAAAAGGATGTCCACGGAAGACAACAGTGGTGGATGATAGCAGGATCCTCTCTATGGTAAAGAAAAACCCATTCACAACATCCAGACAAGTGAAGGACACTCTCCAGGAGGTGGGCATATCATTGTCAAAGTCTACAATCAAGAGAAGACTTCACGAGAGCAAATACAGAGGGATCACCACAAGGTGCAAACCATTCATAAGCATGTAGAATAGAAAAGCCAGATTAGACTTTGCCAAAAAAAATCTAAAAAAAGCCAAACCAGTTCTGGAAAAGCATTCTTTGGACGGAAGAAACTAAGATTAATCTGTTGCAGAATGACGGGAAGAAAAAAGCGTGGAGAAGTCTTGGAACATCTCATGATCCAAAGCACACAACGTCATCTGTAAAACATGGTGGAGGCAGTGTGATGGCATGGGCATGCATGGCTTCCAGTGGCACTGGGTCATTGGTGTTTATTGATGATGTAACAGAAGACAGAAGCAGCCAGATGAATTCTGCAGTGTTTAGAAATATACTGTCAGCCCAGATTCAGCCAAATGCAGCAAAGTTGATTGGACGGCACTTCACAGTACAGATGGACAATGATCATGACACACTGCAAAAGCAACCCAGGAGCTTTCGAAGGAAAAGAAGTGGAATATTCTGCAATGGCTGAGTCAATCACCTGATCTCAACCCAATTAAGCATGCATTTCACTTGCTGAAGAAAAACCTAAAGGCAGAAAGATCCACAAACAAAGAACAAATAAAGACAGCTGCAATTAGAATCTGGCAAAGCATCAGAAAGGAGGAAACCCAGTCTTTGGTAATGTCCATGGGTTCCAGACCTCAGGCAGTCATTGCCAGTAAAGGATTCTCAAAAAAATATTAAAAATGTCCATTTTATTTATGATTATATTCAATTGTCCAATTACTTTTGGTCCCTTGAAAAATGGGGGGGATGGCTACTCTTAAGAGCTTTAATTCCTAAACCATTCCTCCAATTTGGATGTACATACCCTCAAATTAAACCTGAGAGTGTGCACTCTAAGCCCATATCCATGATAGAACTATAGCTTGAATATGTTTTGGTAAATACCTGAAAATAACTAAAATAGTGCCTGTGTTCAAATATATGTGACCTAACTGTGTATAATATATACTGTAGATATATATGACCTAACTGTGTGTGTGTGTGTGTGTGTGTGTATGTGTATGTGTATATATATATATATATATATATATATATATATATATATATACTGTAGATATATAAGGTATATATTTGCAACTGCATGATAGATTAAATAAAGTGAATGCAGCCTCACCTTATTTAGTTCAGGGACCATTCCCTTGCCTTAGTGAACATTAAAAAAATCTATACTATTATGTCAACTGGCTATTTTGTTTAGACCACCCCAAACTAACGTAAAGACATAGTTCACCTTTACCAAAAACCTGCCTATGCAGATAAGGGATGTCTGTAAATGAGAACAAGTTGTACATCTTTGACTAAAATTGAATAATGCTTTTGCTATAGGTATAGGCCATTTTATTTACCTTCTGAAGCCAATCTGAAAACTCCTAGGACGTTGCTAGGATATTGCTCATAAAAGGCCCATCTATTCCTGTCCTCCTCCCCCATCATAGGAGTGCGGTCTTATTCTGATTCAAACCTCCTCACAAGTACTTTCTCTCCCCTGATGCAGTAGCTCTGAACTCAGAGTTTGAGAGCTCACTCCTGTGATGGTGGAGCTGAAGCTAAGCCTCCCTAAGCCATGGTACTGCATATGTGATAGCTGGGCCTCTCTTAGCCTTGTCTTAGCAACATCTTTGGCGGTTTTCAGTCACACTTTATGAGGTATGTAAATGGCCTACTCCTATAGCAAGGGCATTATTGAATTTTATTCAAAGCTACGCAGCTTGTTTTTATCTACAGGCACCTCTTATCTGCAGTGGTGTATTTAAGTTTTCTGCTGCTATAGGCAACGCCCCCACTGTTTCTATTGCACCAACATTTGCTGAGCAGAACTTGGTGGTTGGCCACATCTTTTCTGTGAAGGTGTCAGTTAATGGTATGAGCGGTGTGAAGGTGTCAGTTAGTGGTATGAGTGGTGTGAAGGTGTCAGTTCATGGTATGAGCGGTTTGAAGGTGCCAGTTAGTGGTATGAGTGGTGTCAGTGGTATAAGTGGTGTGAAGGTGTCGTGAGCGTTGAGAAGGCGTCAGCTAGTGGTATGAGCAGTGTGAAGGTGTTAGTTAGTGATATGAGTGGTGTTAAGGTGTCAGTGGTATGAGCAGTGTGAAGGTCTCAGCTAGTGATATGAGTGGGTGTGAACGTGTCAGTCAGTGGTTTGAGCGGTGTGAAGGTGTCAGTCAGTCAGCAATCTCTGGTCGGTATCTGTCAACTCTCCCCCCCACACACACACATAGTATACATGGTATGCACAGTAGTAGGATGGAGATCACTCACCAGGCCTGGCTGAGGCTGAGGGGGGGGCATGTATCTTCCTCACAGCCGTATTCCCCTTTCCCCTTCCACCTTTGTGGCAGCAAAGGTGGCTGAGCCCCGGCCCCGCACTGCCTGATGGGATTGTAGTTCTTTCCTGTGGAGGCGACGGGTCAGAGGCGGGGGAAGGACTGCAACTCTCGGCATGCAGTGCGCCCGGCCAGGCTGTAAGCAGCTCTCTGTTGTGGTGGGGAGCCGGGGCTGGGTGATGACCCTGGTGGATGGAACTGTTACCAGGGAGGCCTGATACTCTCAGTCCTCACTGTATCCCTCAGTGCGGGGTCTGCTGTAGTAAGTGGCATATCTCTGACATCCCTTCTTCCTCACAACAAATACACCCCTGCTTCTCTGCATAGGAAGGGTTTTGGTAAAGGTGAACTATCCCTTTATAAAGCAAATGTAAAATTTTAATTCTTATTGAAATGAAGGTAAGCACAAAATTTAAAACTGGATTCACTATCTTTTTACATCTTTGTAATAATGTTAGATTTTATCTAACACCAATAATTCTCTTCAAGGCACCTTTGACTTCTTTATTCCTTAAGCTATATATCAGAGGGTTCAGCATAGGAGTGACCGCGGTGTATAATACAGAGAACACCAGGTCTTGTTCCTCAGGAGGATTTAGATACATGAAAACACCTGTGCCATAAAAAATCATTAATACGGTAAGGTGGGATGTACAGGTGGAGAAGGCCTTCCTTCTACCATGCGTTGACTTGATAGATAGAACAGTTTGGACTATTTTTACGTAAGATGTTACACTAAGCATAAACGGGCAGAATGCCAACAGTAGGGTTTCTATAATGAGAATGATGTGGAATCCCGCGTAATTGCATGATATCTTCTCCAGGGCTTTAATGTCGCAGAAGAAATTGTGAATTACGTTAGAATGGCAAAAGTCAAACTGGTAAATTGAGAGGGTCATAAATATGGAATTTAGGGAGCCAGATGCAAAGGTGCCCAGCAAAAGAAAAATATACTTTTTCTTCTTCATTATAAGGTGATAGTGTAGAGGCTTACAGATGGCGACGTATCGATCATAAGCCATACAAGATAGCAGAATGTCTTCTGTGCCGGCAGCAAACATAAAGAAGTACAATTGGGTGAAACACTGCCAGAATGTGATTAAGTTATTCCCAGACAGCAAGATGTCCATCAGTTTAGGAAGAATGGAAGACGTAAAAATAATGTCTATTAAAGACAAATGACAGAGGAAAATGTACATAGGAATATGTAGTCGGATATCAAGAATCACAGCTGAAATGATGATTAAATTACCAAGCACACCAGTGGTATAAATAATAAAAAAGACAAGAAAGAGAAGACTATAGCTCTCTGTAGAGTTGACAAATGCCAAAATCTGGAAAGTTTTGATGTATGTTCGGTTATCCATTAGATTGTGTTTTTTTTCCTCTGTAAAATAGTGAAATCTATTGAATGGCTAAGCTACTTTGAGATACAGATGTACCTTAAAACTTTAGAAATTGTAAAGGAAACCTGTTGTGAGAAAATGTGGAGGTTGCCATTGTGTATACAATGGCTTCAGTATTTTCTGAGTCATTGACCTGAGGCAAGTAGGCAGGTTGAGTGTTTGACGTCATTCTGATGTTCCTGATCTGCATGGTAGTATTGGGCCGGAGGCTCAGAAAGTCTTGACACTACAACAGCCAGTCTCAATACATATACTCCCCCTCCCCCATATTGTTTATATTGAAGGTTTCCTTTAAAGTGGAACTGTGTGCAAAATATTACATGATATCTGGTAAAATCTGTTGGTACTATTACCACAGTGGGTTTATTTTTTTGGAGCCCCTCTGTAACATAGTTTTATTGCTTGAAGATCCTGCCAGTAGGTTGGTTATCTTACTACTTCCTTTGACAGGGTGACAATGCTGCTTGTTCTGCAGAGAAATCGCACAGTGGCATTGTCACCCTGTGGACGGGGTAGCTTTGTATAGACCATTTTAGAGTACAACTAATGGTGCCCATACACTACACCAGTGGTCTTCAAACTGCGGTCCTTTGCTTGCCTTTACCCGACCCTTGGGGTACTATTCCTCCCACTGATATGAGACACTATTCTATCAACTGACATTAACAATGGGGCACCATTTCTCCCACTGATGCCAACAATGAGACACTATTCTACCATCTGACATCAACAATGGGGCACCATTTCTCCCACTGATGCCAACAATGGGGCACTATTCTTCCCAATGATACCAACGATGGGACAATATTCCTTCAATAATACCAAATGTAGTAATGTTTTCTCCCACTGATGCCCAGAAAATTTCCAGTCCCTCTGGCCACAGTCCAGCCCCCTAAAGTCTGAAGAACAATAAACTGGCCCTTTGTTTACAAAGTTTGGAGACCCGTGCACTAGACAAAAAATTGTTTGAAAATCTGTCATTTGGACAGTTAGTTTTTCGTCCAAGTATTGGGCACAAATAGAAAGTTGGTTATGACATTTTTGAGCCACAAAATTAAAGAAAATGTTTGGAAGACGTCTGCCAAACGGACATTGAATTGAAAGGGTAATGTGTTTCTCAGTTAAAAATCAAACTGTTTTTACTGGCCGTATGTGACGGAATAAAAAACGGTTTCATTTATGTCCAGTGATCAATTTATCATTCAAAGTGTAGTCATTACACGATGGTAATATCATTTGTTCAGACGACCGAGTGTTTGTTATTTGAAAACGGGTTGGAATGATTTTTGGACTAGTGTATGGCCAGGCTTAATCCTTCTATCCTTTATAGCGGAGGACCGTGCCACCTTCTATTTAGATCTGTGGTTGCCATAATGCTTCACATGTAATCTGCTATGCCATCAGCCATTTTAGGGTGTTAGGCCATGTTCAGACTTGTTCAATATGCTGACGCTGAACAAACGCGCCCATAGAGTTAATACACGTTGTTCGGCACATTTTACATGTATTAAGTCTAGGTTCACACCTATGCATTTTGCAGAAACGCACAGCAGTCTGTTTAACATGATTTCCTATGGGACAGGTTTACGTCTCCTTGTTTTTTGGAAAAGGTCAGGGACTTTTTTAAATGCAAAACGGTGCATTTACGATTCTATAGACTTCAATGGAGATGCTGCAGAAAAGCATATAGTGCGTTTTTGTTGTGTTTTTGGTGCGTTTTATTCTGTCCACCAACAAGTAGAACAAAATCCTGCAAACACGCACCGCAAAAAGCACTGCAGAAACGGATCAAACGCAAACTGCATAGCTGTGAACCTAGCCTAAAGGTGCATTTAAAAAAAACCCCTTAGATGCCTACTTTTTTCTTTTGTTGTAAACTAAGCCTAAAACGCTGCGAATGCACCACAAACACTCTCTGCAAACACGTGACAGTGCGTTACAATAGACTTAAATGGAAAGAGCTGAGATGCTTCAACTCCTTACAAACTCAACACGTAGGATAATTTTTGAAGCACAGCAACGCAAACACTTCATGTTTTGATAACTTGAACAGCTCTGTGCGCCTTCCATATTATCAATTGCAGACTGCTTTACTAGGCATTTGAGAATCATTAAAAGCACACCTCAAATGCCTGCTTTTAATGCCAGTTTGAACAGGGCCTTAAGGTTCAGTTCAGAGCTGACACAAGCACATTGGCAATTTGACAGTGTTTGCAGAAGCTTGCCTTGAATGTAAGGCCCAATGTACACAGGACACTTCTGAATGATGAAAACTGACTGCTGGAAAACGTAGGTGAAAAAACGTCTGTTTAGCCGTGTTTGCTTAACGCGTTTATGTGCGTTTGCGTTTAGAAGCTTTTTTAAAGATAAGCACAGGAGAACCTCCCAAATGCCCAGAATGCACTGAAAAGTGGTAAATTGTTAACTATTTCAGACTGTTTCAAAGAAATAGAGAGAGTAGAAGCAGAGACAGCAGTATGTGTTGAGATTGTCTTAGGAGTGAGTTGCTCATTTCCAAGGGTGGGAAAGGTGGAGTGAGTCATTAAGGCCACCTGGTGGGGGGGAGTCTTCATTAGGCATTTGAGGTGTGAATGGTTATTAACACATCTTTTGTTTCCAAGGGTGGGAGAGATCTGAGGTGTGAATTGGTCATTACAATGTGTGACAAGCTTGGTAGGAACATCCTGTGGTCAGTGTTTTGTCCATCTGAGTACCTTGAAAACACTTTGCATACATTTTTCATGATGAAAAAAGGCTCTGGACAGCATTGGGAACTGGAAGAGTTAAAAAAAAAAATTTAAACCGCAAACGTTTATAAACGCGATTTGCAGCATTTAGCCGCGTTTACAAACATTTTGCGTTTGGAACGCTGATAAAATCGACTGCTGAACGCAATTTTTCTGCGTTAAAAAAAAACTACTGTAAACTCAATGCCTGTGAGCGACTGTTTATCAACTGCAGGGTACATGAGCCCTAACTGTTTTGGAAAACCATAAAATCAATGTTTTTTTTTTTTTTTAACCTATAGCCAGAGACCATTTTTAGAGTGGTAGTAAACTGCGTCCAAAACAAAAATCCCCTGCAAGGTAAAGGCATAATGTGCTAGTATGCATCGCATACTAGCGCATTATGAAGGATTTATCTTAAAACAAAGCCCTCCAGCGGCACGCTGTCACCGCTGCAGAGGCTTCCATCTTCACCCGGCCTTCCTTGTGGGTTCATGATGACGTGATGACGTCACTCCCACTCATGTGCACAGGAGTCTCAGGACACGGCACAGCGATCTGAAGGAACATCGCGGGTATGCTGTTCCTTCAGAGCGCATGTGTCGGCTGTGGTAAAACCCAAATATCTCCTAAATGGTGCACGTTTAGGATATATTCATTTTACCAACTTTGTTGGAGTCGCACAGATTAGAAAAGTAGTTCCTGCAGAACTTTTATTGATTTACATAGATGTCTATCAAGTCGCTCCCCAAGTCGCACTGCCATTCAGCTTTGAAGTTGTGCAACTTGAAGTGAAGTCGCACGATTTCAAAGTCTGATCCAGTGTGAATCAGGGATAAGGCCTCATTCTCACCATATGTGCCGAAAAACAGACGGAAACTGATCCATAGATTTACTTGCAGAGACATCTGTTTCCATGTGTTTTCATGCGAGCTGCAGAGAGTTTTATACATGTTGCAGATTCCTGTGCAGAATCATGAGATACCATTGTGGGGTGAACAGGGCACAGAGAAAACAATTGTTTTTTTTGTACCCTTGCAGAATGTATGCAGAAAAACTGACGTCTCTGCACATGGTGTGAACGAGGCCTAAAGCGGAACTAAACCTCCATCAATGTAACTGTTTCCCAAGAGAGTTCCATTCAAGCCATGCCGTGAATGATAACTGTCACATTGGCTTTGCTCTCAACCAAACTGACTAGTCATCAAACAGCTGGTGTCATAACTGATCACATGTGCAATACCATGGCAACTGCCTATCAGAGGCTAAGATGGCAGATTCCTCGACTGTAAAGGAGAGGAGTGTTTAGATCTACTTTAAGACCTGACTTCATGTGGTTGTAAAAGCAGAAGTTTTTTTTTTTTAACCTTACTGTATTCTATGCAGAGAGGTAAAAAACCTTCTGCATTCAGCTTCCCCTGGAGCCCCTTTAAATACATACCCGAGCCCAATCTTTTTTCAGTGCTGTGCATGAGAGCAGAGGCTCTCTTGGCTCTCTCAATCCTCATTGGCTTAGATAAAGCCGCAAGACCCATTGGCTACCGCTGCTGTCAGTCTGAGCCAGTGATGAGGGAGAGTGGGCGGCGGGGCCAAGCTCTCATAGACTTAGACACACAGAGCCGGCTCAGGATAGAGCACACATGAGTGCCCCCATAGCAAGAGGCTTGCTATTGGGGGGACCCCAAATAAGGAGGATGAAGGCTGCTCTGTGCAAAACCACTGCACTGAGCAGGTAAGTATAACATGTTTGTTATTTTAATACAAACAAAAATGCGCATTTAATATTACTTTTAGCAAACACCTTTAAAGCAGGTGTAGCTACAGTTGTATTCTCTGTTGGAACAAAGGGTTTAATATCCACTGATAGGATCAAAAGGTGAACAAAAGTATTAATGCGAGTGTCAGAGTGCAAGGAGCAGGGCCCTCTAATCCCTCTTGTATTGAACTGTATTGTTACTGTATTGTCTCCCGTTCAGGGGCGGACTGACCATTTGGAAACTCGAGCACTGCCCAAGGGCCCGGGGTCAGTAGGGGGCCCCATGAGATGCCCCTGGTACCTTTTTCATAGGCTTTTTTGAGTTTGGGCAAGGACACAGGGGCCCCATGATCCCCTATTGCCCAGGGGCCCCATGAGTTGTCAGTTGTCAGTCCGCCCCTGCTCCCGTTATATTGTAAAGCGCTGAGCAAACTGTTGCCGCTATATAAGTCCTGTATAATAATAATAATTATGTAGTT